CCCCGGTGTGTCGGGCCATCCCAGGGAAGGCAGCTCGGGTCCCTGCTGGGGGGAGGGTCGCGCACGTCGGGTGTGTTATGAAGACGCTGATTTTGTAAGCTCATCTCCACCCCCCTCCCCGCGCCTCCTTCCCCCCTTGCGGTGCCGCCGCCCTCAGGCCTTGCAGGGGAACGGGCGTCGTTTTCATGCGTTCCTAAGTCCCCCGGTGGCGTCCGAACCTGGGGCCCCGGACCGGCCTGGGTGTCTGACGCCTCCCCTGGCGTTGCCTCGCCCCGCCACCTGGGTTGATCTCCCCGTCCTTGACCTGAGAAGCAGGCCTCCAGCTGGCCTCCTTGTGTAGCAGGGCCGCCCGCCCCTAGCCAGCTGAGCGGGTAGCCAAGCCCGACACCGTCCATGAGCTTGTGCCCTGGGCACTCCGTCTGGGGGAGGACATGGGTGATGGGGTGTCCCCTGCAGGGCTCTCCAGACACCCCAGGGTGGCGGGTTGATCTCCCCGTCCTTGACCTGAGAAGCAGGCCTCCAGCTGGCCTCCTTGTGTAGCAGGGCCGCCCGCCCCTAGCCAGCTGAGCGGGTAGCCAAGCCCGACACCGTCCATGAGCTTGTGCCCTGGGCACTCCGTCTGGGGGAGGACATGGGTGATGGGGTGTCCCCTGCAGGGCTCTCCAGACACCCCAGGGTGGCGGAGCATCTCGTGTCTGTCCTCGAGACCCCCTTTGAAACGGGGTTTCTGCCTCCGTTCCCCCCGAAAGAGGAGGAGGAAGAGGTTCCAGGGGGACCCAGCCAGCGGCATGTGCGAGTCCTGGGAAGTCAAGTCCCTTGGGTGCTGGGGAGCTTCTGGCCTGAGCTGCCCCATCCCTTCGGACCAGGGAGATGGAAGTAGCTTCAGCCGCCTTCGGGCCCTGGATTGAGGACACCAAAGGGCAGAGGGAGCTGCACTGGGGAGGGGCTGGGGCACCGGGCAGGGGGCCCAGAGAGCGGGGTTCCGTTCCTGGCTCGGCACGTGGCCCAGGAGGCCTGGCTTTCCCTCCTCTGAGGGACGTTAGCGCTAAGCTGTGCTGCTGCTCAGGAGAGATTGCAAAGCCACCCGGCTGAGTCAGAGCACCCCCTGCTGGTGTGTTAAGGTGGTGCACATTCACACCTGCCTCGGCGCATGTTTTTATTCCACCCAGGGTTGGGGGAAAACCAACCTGCGCAGGGCTGGGAAAGGGATTGGAGGGAACGCTGAGGGAGCCTCTCGGCTTAGCGCTAAGCTGTGCTGCTGCTCAGGAGAGATTGCAAAGCCACCCGGCTGAGTCAGAGCACCCCCTGCTGGTGTGTTAAGGTGGTGCACATTCACACCTGCCTCGGCGCATGTTTTTATTCCACCCAGGGTTGGGGGAAAACCAACCTGCGCAGGGCTGGGAAAGGGATTGGAGGGAACGCTGAGGGAGCCTCTCGGCTCTTTCCCGGGCCAGGCGTGACTGTCTCTTTCCCACCTCCTCAGGCAAAACCACCCTGCGCAGGGCTGGGAAAGGGATTGGAGGGAACGCTGAGGGAGCCTCTCGGCTCTTTCCCGGGCCAGGCGTGACTGTCTCTTTCCAACCTTCTCAGGCTTCTTTAAAATCCTGCGAGGGCAGGACCACTGCGGGATCGAGTCGGAGATCGT